TAACTAAACTAACGTACAAATAGAGTTTACCAACTATGGAATTGGACGATTTACTTCAAAATTCGAAACATCGTACAAAAATAATAATTGGCCTTCTCCATCTGCGTCTACTGATGTCTCTTTGTCTGGCTCCAGCGGCTCGTCTTCAACTGCTGCTGCTTCCTCTCGCTCTCCTACTCCCACAGATGAAATTTCTCGTATGGAAGAAAAATTAAAATCTTCCGCGATAACTAATTCTCTAGACTTGCATAATCTCACAGTGCCGACTGCACTTAAGGCTACAGGACTGGCTCTACGTGATTGGTGGAAAGATGAATTGGACCAGAGACATGTGGATGGTAAACTCACCCGATTTGGGTGGAAGGTTCAATTTGTAAGTCCATTCAATTTAATTACAGGTCGCGGAATTCATTCAGAAGGTGGAAAATCAAAGATAAGAATAGCTGTCAAAAACTACTTGACAAGAAATAATTATGTCTTTGAAGAATATTCTGGGCGGTTTGAAATTGAAGGTAAACGGTAGGAATGCAAACAATAGAGTGTGCTGTAACGGGCTCGATTAGGTAATGTACGAGTCGATTACGCGTAGGCTCAAAAACCGGGTAATTTTTTGTTATATGTAAAATTTAATTAAAAGCTGGTGATAATAACTTGGACGATAATTTTACGAATAGCTAATTTTTCTACACATTGCGTAACGTTAGGACTTAAATAGGTCAAATAGTTGAAATAGCAAATTATTTGGATATTCAAATTAGTTATAGCTTAATTGGCGAAGAATTTTAAAAATTGGAAGTATTTATCCCCTGTGTCACAAACAAACACGATATATACGAAGTATCCACCAACTAAATCGAGTGAATTATAACATGTATAAAGGCAAGGATACCGACTATAAATTGGGGTCGCCTATACACGAGAAAATACCTAGTTTTGAAATTGGTTCTGATAAACGATTGGATATAGAAGACAGCGGACGAGAAGAAGTTGGCGACAGAAGCAAAGAACATGACGAAGAGGACGATGAATACAAACGAATTATTGAACAAGAGTTTGAAAAAGATCATGAATTCGATGAACGTGAGTTTGAAATTGAAGTAGTAGATGAGGACGAGAATAATGAGCAAGATTATGAAGCAGATACTAGCAAGTCGATTGGGTCTTTACCTCGAATGCCAGGTACTTATGATTTTTCTGGTTTGAGGAGTAACGATAATCAATACAATGAGTTAACTGAGACTTTGAATCAAGAGGAAGGTCATCAGACTAAAGATGTCGAGACTGAAAAGTCAAACAACGAAGCCTCGCATACATATAAGTCAACATTAGACCCAGGAAAACCCCAACAAAACCCTCCGCCTTCCAATTTGAACATTGATTCGATATTAAAAACTCAATTGGAAAATAATAAAAGTGAAGGAAGCATTGGTCAAATAATTGACAGTATATCAAGAAAGACGTCCAATTCCTCTGGAGCTCCGAATATCATGAAGAATAATACTTTGGATAAAATTCCAACACATGATGATGAAAACATCGATGACAACAACGTAGAAAATAGAGCTGGTAATCCAAAAATACGTGGTGAACTAAATGCGTCCAATGAAGCATCAATAAACGATAATATTGCTGATATCAGTCAGTCAACTATACAGACTTCTACTGATGTTGACGACAGTATAAATAAAGGGAATAATGATATAAATAAAGGATTATCTAATGTTGATATCAGTGACGCCCTGGTAAATGAATCGAAACAAAGAAATGTTTCGTCAGGATCGGTAGTTCGAAATCCTCCCTCGGGGACCCAAACCAATCAATCTAATCAGTCATACCATCAGACGAGAGCTATAACTCCTGTAATGAATCAAATGAATAAATTTCAAAGTTCAACTTCTGAGGCGTCTTCGCCAAGAGAGCATCTTGGTATGGGTATAAATAATAGTGCCCCATCAACGGGCGCTAATTCGAATGCGTCTTCCCCTATGAATGGAAGTTATCCAAACTCCATAGCTAAAAGTCGAAGAAGTGGTAATAGAGTGAAGGGGGTCTTTTCGAATATGTTTAGTAAGAATAAGAGCAATACAAGTGTGACTTCTTCGCCAGAATCTCATGCGATAAATATGAAGATAAGTACTCCGTTCAATGCGAAACATGTAGCGCATGTTGGAGTCGATGATAACGGATCATATACTGGGTTGCCTATTGAATGGGAAAGATTGTTATCAGCAAGTGGAATCTCTAAGAAAGAACAGCAACAACACCCACAAGCGGTTATGGATATAGTTGCATTCTACCAAGATACTAACGATGATAATACAGATGAGAATGCATTTAAAAAGTTTCACTATGACAATGATTCATCACATTCGTCGATTTATAATGCCACCCCTCCCTCGACTCCTGGTATTCCTTCAACTCATTATGCAACACCTCTCCAGTCTGAAAAACAGCTCCAAAGACAACAATCTCAAAAATCACAATCATCGCAGCCAACACATATGCAAGCAACGCCCAAAACTCCAAATAATAATTACGAAAATCAATTCATTCCAAGCAGACCAGCTCCAAAACCACCTTCAAGCACGCCTTCGGCCAAATCAATGAAACCGCCACCAGTGCCTCCTTCACCAAGCACGAATACAAACGTGTCGCCTGCTCTGAAGAAGAATTCATTCATGGGCAGATCGTTTTCTTCAAAATCCATTAAGGCATTAAGGAATAATAGTAGAAAAATTTCAGAGCCAGCGAAAGTACCACAATCGAAGGTATTAAATAACAGTTCTGAAATGGGAATTCCAAAATCAAAGTCTCACAGTAATTCTCTTTCAACCCAAAGCGAAGTTGAACCTACAAAAGGTTCAACCACTGCTCCTGTTTCATCTACTGCTCAATTTAATTCTACTACTGGCAATAACACTAATAACACCAATGGCCCTGATATAATTGAAGAAGAGAAAAATAATAGTCCATTATTGAATAACCCCAAACAAAGAGAGCAAAAATCTGATAATAATATGGAGCAAAGAGCGGCTCCTCCTCCTCCGCTTCAGCCTACAGCTCAGTCTTATAAAAAAGAAGAGCCATTGAAGGAGGCATCAGAAAAGTATAATAATAAAGAAAACGATGCACCAAAGAAAAATTCTCAAGCCCCTGTAAGAGATGCAAAACAAGCGGCACTTTTGGCTCAAAAAAAGAGAGAAGATAAGAAGCGTAAGAACCAGCAGATTATTTCCAAGTTGCAACAAATTTGTAGCGAAGGTGATCCTAATGAGCTTTACAAGGATTTAGTTAAGATTGGACAAGGTGCATCGGGTGGTGTTTATATAGCACATGATGTAAATCATAGATCACAGACAGTTGCTATTAAACAAATGAATTTAGAACAACAACCCAAAAAAGAACTAATTATCAATGAAATATTGGTTATGAAAGGTAGTAAACATGAAAATATTGTTAACTTCATAGATTCATATTTATTGAGAGGAGACTTGTGGGTTGTCATGGAATATATGGAAGGTGGTTCATTAACTGAAATTGTAACCCACAGTGTTATGACTGAAGGGCAAATAGGTGCAGTCTGTAGAGAAACATTGAAAGGTTTAAAATTCTTGCATTCAAAAGGTGTTATTCATAGGGATATTAAATCGGATAACATCTTGTTGAATATTGACGGTAACATTAAAATGACCGATTTTGGCTTCTGTGCTCAAATTAATGAAATTAACTTGAAAAGGACCACAATGGTAGGAACACCATACTGGATGGCCCCAGAGGTTGTATCAAGAAAGGAATATGGTCCGAAAGTCGACGTGTGGTCTCTAGGAATCATGATTATTGAAATGATTGAAGGAGAACCTCCGTACTTGAATGAAACTCCATTGAGAGCCCTTTACTTGATTGCAACTAATGGTACGCCTAAGCTTAAAGAGCCAGAAGCATTGAGTTATGATATCAGAAAGTTTTTAAGCTGGTGTTTACAGGTGGACTTCAACAAAAGAGGAAACGCCGACCAGCTTTTGAACGACAAGTTCATACTTGAAGCCGATGACGTAGAATCGTTATCGCCACTCGTCAAAATCGCTGCTATGAAGAAGGCTTCGGAACACGATGAGTGATGTGCTATATACCTGTATAATTATTAATGATATTTTATCAACACGAACTAACCCGCACCCGTAAACCCGCATATTTTCGAGAACCTTCTTTTGCAACTTTTCTCCTACCTTCGACTATTTTCTCCCATTAACTTCTATCTTCCATATACATTTCGCCAAATACTGCTAAGACTTCTCTAGAATGTTTCCTTGCGGCAAAAAGTCCGAGTCGATCTAATTATTTTTCTCGCCCAACAATAAACAATAGCACAATACGACTAAAATCTCTGCACCCATAAAACATTGCCGCCCTGAATTTCATCAAAACAAGAATACATCCACGGGTTTACCTATCGCTTAAGTCCATTCACAATTTTATGCCGTATATATATATATATATCATTTGCTATAAATAATTGTTTACAGTTCCGGTGCTTCTAGTCGTAAAAATTAAAAATAATCCTTGTACCTTGTAAATCGGACACTTCTGGATTAATTCAATAACCGCTCGTTACTGGCGTCACTGCATTTTGCTACCTCTTGACCCATAATGTTGACTCTTTTGTCAACCGAGCACCACTTTACCTGTAAATAGCAATTATAGTGCAGCTCAACACAGGGCTGCGCAACCACACTCTCCCACTCATTCTTCCCCCCTCTTCAATGATATCATACAATCACAGTATATAAGTTAGGAAAATCTCCCTCTTTTTATTAAAAAGTAAACTTGATTTCAACTTCAAGAGTATTTAAACATATTTGGAAATTTCTTATCGATACACTTTCAACTATACATCTTAATAATATTTATTGATAATATATTAGTTATAGTCACGCATTAATTATTGCTACGTGTTTACAGAAAGTCCCAGAATAATAGATCAAATTATACAGAAAACTACAGAGATGTCATCATCACCAAAAGCATCAGATGCCGCTACTGCTGCCGCAAAGTCAGAAAAACCGGAATTCCAGTCTTACTTGAATAACGACGGGATTGACCAATTGGAACCTGCAGAAAGAAAGCACAAAGTATCATCTTTATCATTAACTGATTTGAATAGTTGGCAAAATGGGTTGACGAAGTTATCTTCGTCAACCTCTTTGAACAAATCATCTTCGCAAAACTTAAAGAAGGTGGATTCGTTAGCCAAATTGTCTAGAAACTCATCTATTATCAAAAGAAAGAAGAAGATTGTTGTCGATCATGCAAGAGTTGCATCGTACGCCTTCTGTTTTGATATTGATGGTGTGATATTGAGAGGTCCAGATACTATTCCAGAAGCTGTAGAAGCCATGAAGTTGTTGAACGGTCACAACAAATACAATATCACTGTTCCCTCGATTTTTGTGACAAACGGTGGTGGTAAGCCAGAGCATGTCAGATCAGAAGACTTATCCAAGAAGTTGAACTGTACCATAACTCCAGAACAAATCATTCAAGGACACACTCCTATGAAAGATTTAGTTGGTGTTTATGAAAACGTGTTAGTTGTTGGTGGTTTAGGAAATGTTTGTCGTAACGTGGCAGAATCATATGGCTTCAAAAATGTTTACACCCCATTCGATGTGTTAAAGTGGAATCCGGCTGTTTCACCTTACCATGACTTAACTGATGAGGAATTGAAGTGCTGTAGAGATGTTGACTTTTCCAAGGTTAAGATTGATGCCATTATGGTGTTCGCTGACTCAAGAAATTGGGCTGCGGATCAACAGATCATTTTGGAATTATTATTGTCTAAGGATGGTATAATGGGCACACAGTCTAAGACTTTTGATGAAGGTCCTCAAATCTACTTTGCTCACTCTGATTTCATTTGGGCTACCAATTACAAATTATCTAGATATGGTATGGGTGCTTTACAAGTTTCAATTGCTGCTTTATATAAGGAACATACCGGTAAAGAATTAAAGGTGAACAGATTCGGTAAACCACAAAAGGGTACCTTCAAATTTGCTAACAAGGTCTTGAGTAACTGGAGGCAAGGTGTTTTGGATGAGCACTTGAAAAAATTGTCGATCAACGATCCAAATGCAGATGAGGCAGATATCTTGATCAATGATGAAGGTGAAGAGATTATTAATCAAGCGAAGTTAGAATCGTTCCAAGGTCTTGAAGATTCCGATGATGAGGAGGACCCTTACAAAGAACCTTTAGCAGTTGTTGGCAATCAAGATAAAATTACTTTAGAGTTACCACCAGCATCAACAGTGTATTTTGTTGGTGATACCCCAGAATCAGATATCAGATTTGCCAACTCACACGATGTTTCGTGGTTTTCTATTTTAGTTAAAACTGGTGTTTACCAAGAAGGTACCGTTCCAAAGTACAAGCCAAAGCATTTATGTGAAAATGTTCTTGAAGCTGTTCAATTTGCTATTGAAAGAGAGCATGAATTAGAATTGAAAGAATGGAATGAGACCGCAGATAATGAAGATGATAAGGGCTCTAGAATCAACTTTGCCGATTTGATGATGACACCTAGCGAAAAGGAAGAAAAGTCCAAGGCAAAGACCGTTGAAGATCATGAAGCTGTTGAAGTCCCAGTTGTCTTAAATGAGCAAATTGAAAAGATTAAAGATGTTCAAGTCTAGTATATAAGATTTTTAAACTTCGTTTACAATAAATGCTGTATCGCTGTATAATATTATAGTCACTTAATACTTAATAAACTGCTAAAATAAAAATGCATTCGTGGGTATATCGAGAATTATCGTATTACGAGCTCGCTTCGTAATTAAATTTCTGCTTCATTATAGATCGTAGTATAACATCTTTCACATTGCCAACACCATCATACATTTCATACAAATAATGATCACTGGCCCATATAATCAACCCATGTCGAGTCCCTACATCTAAAATCACAAATCGCTCTAATTAGTACCTCAGGTAAGGCGCTCTGCTCGTACTTCAGTAGTGGAGAAAAAAAGGCTGTTTTATTTTTTTATCTTTAAATTTATAACTAACCTCTAGCTTTCCTTTTATATTAAAGCTAGAGAGAATCAGCATATTGCAGTATATAAATCCAATCAAAAATATGTTAAGAATATTATTCAGCGACTGAATCTGAATCAATCTGAATCTGTAGAACGATTAATTTTTTACGCGACCTTTATTATGAAAATAAAAACAAAACATAAATAGTATATGATAAGAGATAGATCAATGCAAATACATATCCCCAGTCATTATGGAGAAGGAAGCAATATTTTTTAGAAAGCAACTAGATGAACTAGATAACGATGTATCTATTCTATCGGCTCAGAATGATTTTCAATCACATATGAGCAAAATCAATGAAAACATTGAAAATCCTACTTCAATCAACGATGAGATTAACTTTCAAAAAGAGAACTTCTCGAAGCTAAAGTTCCAATATCTTGAACAAGAGACAAAGGAGAAGTTTTTAAGATCACTTTTCGATAATCCACCTAAATCTATTCAACAGGAAGATATTAATAGACTACAAGAAGAGAATGTTCATTCGAAAAGAGCACTAAAGGCATTGAAAGAATCAATGAATAATAAGATGAAGGATATACACGAAATTTCTAGAGAAACCGTCGAATTAAATAAAGAGTATCAACAGAAGTGTGATGAAACCATTAAAATGCTAGAAGAAGTACAAAGGATGGAGGAAAAAATAAATTCAATCATTGATAACCAAAAAGATGAAACCAAGGAAATAATCAAAAGCTTGATTGAAATTTCCACAGGTCTGAAAGAGAAAGATCTCACAAATATTATGACAAGTGCTAATGATAAACTATTACAAGATTATATTACTACTCCTGCTCAAGCTAGTAATGAGTTACATTTGAAAACTCAATTGAATGAAAACCAGCAACAGCATCTCCAAAAGTTACAAGAAAAACTAACGACATTAAAATCCAAGTTACTGAATATTGAACACAATAAGGAACCCAATGACAATCAGTTTTACGCTCAGTGGGTCAAGGAAATGAATGAAATCCTAATTAGCTTAAATGATCTATCTCATATCAGGTTTGAATTTGTTGATAATACAGATCTCAAGCTAGTTATCAATAACCATATTATTCTCTTGAATAAAGACTTTAATATCTTGAATACAGCTGACTTAAACGATCAATATCTCATACGTAAGATTAATACCAACGAAGATAAAATGAAAAACTTTTTGTTATTAATTAATGGTTTATTAGAAACCCCTTGATCCTTTGAAAACAAACAACTTATATAACTGGTTCAATATGTCTACTACCAGTACAGAAATCAGAATTCAAAATAAAAGACCAACTCTGGAAAATCAACTACAAAGTTATGAAGCATACTGCAAAATAGCTAATGCAAGCCTGAGTTATGTTACTTGAATGGTGAAGTCACAATCCATTAATATGCTTATGTTGAAGCTTATACTCAAGCTTTTGATCCAATATCTTACTATATAGCTACCAATCCGACCCCATGTTGATTATGTAATCGGATATACCTCGGTCAGATTTGAATATATGTAGACTAAAATGATTTGTAGATTAATGATAAGTACATCTAAATATTGGCATGGTTGAAACCACTACTACGTCGACAGTTAAATCTGATAAGAAGGAACTTATAGACAATATTCTCAAGTTAGCTCAACAAGAACAGAAAAGAGGTAACAAATCTATTACGCAGGAGAAACTAAACAATTTATCAAATTACGTTTTAACATACCAACAGAAACAAGAGAGCCAGAATAAGACAACCAATTACGACAAATACACGAAAGAATACCCTGCTCCAATTGTGAAACCATTATACTCTCCACTATTCAATAAATTCAGTGTCACATCTCAAAAACCAGTAGTTAAAAAAAACAATACAAAACAGAAATTGCCTTTTCAGTATACTTTTAAAAATATTGAAAGAGTATTGATTGAAATTCTTGAAACCGTAGCTAATATTCTTGACAATTTACATTTATTTTCTAGATTTCCAATGTTTCCTGCTAGGCTAGTTGATTTGCTAAAACAAACAAACAAATTATGGGTAGTGATATTAATTTTCTTGATTCGGAAAACTATATCACAATTACTAAATGTAATAAAAAAAGAACGAAAGGTCAATATTGAATTATCAATCTTAAACCTGAATAAGAATTCTAAGTTATTAATCAATAAAGATGATAACAATGATGATAATAATATTTTTAGGAGATACGAGAAAGTCTTGAAGGACTTACAATTCGATAAAATGATGTTAGTGTTGGAATTGATTGGTAACTTCTTAGACATGGGATTTAATTTGATTGAATTATATGGCATACCTGTACCCGACTGGTTTATGAGTGTATTGAATGCTGCAAGTATGGGTATGACGATTTACAGAATGAATAAAGATGACGAATATATTGATGATGATATAACTGAAGATTTAATATAATTTGAAAATTTACGCTCAGCTTCTTTAACTCTATGCATTTTTAGATCATTTCAATTTGTTTAGATCAAACTATTTAAATTATATAAAGCAGCTTTTATGCTCATAAATAAATAATGCGTTATTTGAAAATAAAATCATCGAACGAATTTAAGATCCAGATTGCTTTACTTAAATAAAAGTTATATAATTACAAATGTCGATAACAGACTTAGTTTCACAGTATGAATCTGACCTTCAAGCTATCGATAATGAATTGGAATCTGTGAAGTATACTGCAGCTATTGACGTGATAAATGATGAAAACTTGAAATTACCATCAGAAACAACTCACAAAGATGATCTTAAAACATTAAGCATATCTCAGTTGAATGATAAACTCAATGTAAGTGATGACGCATTAGCTCAATTGAATGGCTTATGGATTATTAAAGGTTTAATTCAAGAGATTAGTATATCCTTGAATCCTGTCGACGAACCAAACTACAGGTGTGACAAATATGAATTACAATCTATAGTTAACAACTTAACAAAATTAAAACAAAAATTATCCCAGTCCGATGAGTCTTTAATCATTCTTGATAGTTTAAATAAATCATATCAAGATTTAATTGAAAAAACAGGAAAACAGTTACAGTCTAATTTCCACATCTATTTTCCAACTGATGATTCTTTCGTTAACAATGTATTGACAAATGATATTGACATGTCTTACAAGGAATTCATTGAAATTTTTAATCTCTTTGAAACAATTGACTCATCATTTACCATTAAATCCTCACATCGTAAACTCCAATTACAATGGGACAAAATATTAGATCGATTGATAAATAAAAACAAAATAATAACGTTAGATCATCAAGACGATAAATATGTCTTAAAAGTCTTGAATGAAAAAGCTGGTTTTAAAGAATATTGTGAATCAATAACCGAATTCATGAGCTTTGTAAATCAATCCAATATTCAATCGTTTAAAAATTTCTTCCTGTCGAGGATTTCAAATAACTTGACAAATAAGGTTTCGGAAAATATAAATAATCTTATTAATCCTACCAATGAAGATCTAATTCAAAGCCTATTTGGCGTGGTTAAGTTATCCAAAGAATCACATTGGAATTTATCAGTTGAAAGATCATTATCGTCAGGAGCTGACCTTAATAATAAGTTGAATGACTTATATCTTGATTGGGTCGTGGATAAGTATATTAATAGGCTCAGGGATCTTTTTAACAATGAGTTCGGTCAATTAACAAAAGACTTACATGATGAATATTATTCATTGGAGGCGGAACAAAAGCAAATAAATAAGAAGGCAGAAGGTGATCAGAATAACAGCAATCATGTTTCAGATGAAAATAAGGATGATTGGAATGAATGGGATAATGACGGATGGGATGACGAAGAAATACCTGAGATTGATTCTCAATCCGACAACCAAAGGCAAGCAGAAAATGACTGGGACGAAGACGGCTGGGACGACGATAGATGGGATGATGGAGAAACGAATTCCAATAAAAGGAAAGGAAATAAGGCAGTACAAAAGATTTCCCAAATGCCTTCAAGATTACGGGATATAGTACTCGAATACAAAGCAGAATCTGGTAAGAATAATATCCAACCGCTTATTTCCGCCCTTGAATCATTCTCTACCATATCATATCCGTCATTAAATGAATCGTTTTTATTGTATAATGATTTACAAACTTTAAACAATTCTTTCATGAATGAACAGTTAACGAAATTCTTAGACATCAATCTCAAACAATGCATTCAATCTTTGTCTAATGAAGTCATATTAATTCTAGTCTCAATTAATTTGAAACATGATGATTTTATATCGGATTCTAGCAATTTTGATGATTTTAAGCTAGACAATGAAAACGAGAGTAAATTGAAACTAATTGATAATTGGTTCAACAAAATGAATAAGTCTAAGTTGAAGTCAACTAATAGACAAAACTACAAAAGGATCATTTTGGACGTTATCAGTATAATTCTTAATTGGATGATAAATTCTATTATATCAATGGATGAAATAACGGAGTACCAATCAACCAAATTGACCACTATAATCAAAATCATTCAACACATAGTCAATACGAATTTAGTATTGGTAGACGAATCCAACACTACTGTGACGGCGTATAACAAGCTCAACAACGTTTTGTTTTTGATTAATAATCACTTAAAAGACATTATGGAGATGTTCTACCAAGGAGAATTCTTTGATCTCACTACTGCTGAGTTAATATCCATCATTGAAAGTGTTTTTATCAAAAGCGATCTTAGAGATAACTACATTGATGAAATTCTTGATATAAGAAATGTTGAAACATAATAAACAAATTTTATATTTCTAATTACTACGTAAATATCACCTCTCTATTGTATAACCTTTCCATCATTGATTTTCTTACCAGTCTTGGCAATGGTATTGTAAACAGTGTCGTAATCTTGATCAGTAGTGATATCAACTGTTTGCTTTTCTAAGGAAACATCTATCTTATTATCACCATCTAATTTGCTCAATACTCTGTTTACAGCATTAGAACATGATGAACATGCCATTGTAACGTCGAAATGATATTGATGAGACATCTTATTGATAAATTACTTTCGTTGGACAAATATATAGAAATACAGGAAAAGATGAATAATAAAATTCTATATATGCTATGCCGATCAAAATCAACTTATCAAAAAAATCAGTCGCATTTTACTGCTTACTAATCTGTAAAAGAGAGATATATACTCTATAGCTCTCACCCTAGGCGTCTAACTTATAATCTGTTATAAAGAACCTTTCCTTTTAAGGGTCTTCTTTCCTTATTCCTCGTCTAATGAATTTTTGCTAAAATTATTGATAGGGATATATATATATATATATATTGGAGTTTTGTCTTGGAGCCAATTCAACCAAGCTTTCTCTTTTTGGTGAACCAATTTTAAAATTTTCTATTATATGTAACACCGAATAACATATCTGCATTAGATTAAGGTACTAAAATTAGTCTGAGATGACTTCAGGCTGCCCTATGTTTTTAGCGGAAGGTTTACTAAACTAAGGTATATTAGTGACTGGTACCAAAAAAATGTTTATGCGACATTAACTGCAACAAAAATTGCAGCACTAGCACGACATTTAATTTCTTGATTTTGAGTAATAATAGTTTTTAGCTACAACTGTTCGTATTAGTACTTTATGGTTTGATCAAATTTACACTCAGAAACGAATTATATTACAGTGTTGTTACCAAAAGAGATATAAGAGCTTGTTTTCAAATAGTATCTTATTATTATAGGAAGAGCAGTAAGTGGGTGGAGCTATAGGAGTTGGCATCCCGTTCTAACACATCATGGCTATACAATTAACGGAAGAACAAATCACGTATACCACGAACACACTTTCCAATAGTGCTCCGAGAGATCGGTATATCTCCGTAGAAGAAACCACTAATGTGGCGGAGGATAGTAATGCTATTGAGGCCACTAGTCCGCATCAAGAATCGAGCCATGAATATGAGTTGAGTCAATCAGAATCGTTATCCTTCTTGTATAATCTTCTATACGATGAAAATTCAGCGCTAAAGAAGTCAGAAATTCTAAGTATCTTAAATGCACTAAAACTAAGAGAGGATAATTTACCATTTTCGATCCAGAATCTTAATGAAACAGACTGTCAGGGAGTATCTTGGCCATCGGGCCTAAGGGAAAAGATTTCTATTGATAGGGGAAGAATAGGAGAAATAAATTGGATTTATAATATTCCAAAGTCTAGAGAAACTATTAGAGATGTAAGTAATTTAAACTTTCTACTTTAACTAGAATTATACTAACGAACTAGCACTTTAATTTCCAGACTTACAAAACAAAAACAAATTTTTTTCAGTTCCACAAATTTTTCTGCAAACTAAAACTACATATTACACATTTCCAGCTAAGGAATCTAGTCTGCTGCAGCGAAAATCTATCTAACGGTATTTTCTATCCCCTGAGTCATTTATATGATTATAATTTTCCAATAGATGCGACAAGTACAGATGAATGTCAAACATTTTTCCGGGTTAACCGTTTGATGCCAGATGATCAATTAACTAGAGAAAGAAATGGTATGAAGTTGGACTGTCTTATGGAATCCAGGTCATTATTATATAACTCAAACAGTAGGATATCTACTATGGCCTGTTCGAATAACATACTTGCATGTGGTACATTCGAAGGTGGTTATATATTGCAAGATATTTCAAATCCAGTAAATTCAGAATTGATGGGCGAATACAATTTAACTAATGATTCGGAGGGAATTACGAATCATATAGCGATACATGATGATAGAGAATTGATTATTTCGTCTAATGATAAGGTATTGAGAATAATAGATATGACCACAGGGTGTACACAACTGCATAATTTACCTTTTTCAATAAACTGTCTAAGTATCAATCCCCATAATCCCAATGAATTTATCATTACCGGAGATCATATTAATTCGTATATCATGGACAAGAGAATGCCTTCAATTGATAATAGTCAGGAATGCAAAGGGCATAAGGACTATGGTTTTAGTTGTGACTGGTCACCTAAAAATGAAAACATTCTAGTCACAGGTAATCAAGATAGTAGCATCAAAATTTGGGATAGGAGAAATACAAAGGAAAGTGTGCATTGTTGGAATAGTGCGTTGGGGACTTTATCATCGCAAGGTGCACCAGTAAGAAATTGTAAATTTAGTTGTAATGGTGAGTATCTAAGCTGGGCGGAAAGCTTAGATCATGTGGGTATTATTCAAATGAACGATTTATCAAAGTCTGATAATTATATGCTGCGAGTTCAATCAATAGACTTTCTTGGCAAATGTACGGGATTAAATTTTGCTCCTATGGAGTATGGTTACGGCGAGGACTTGATTATTGGTGTTAATGATTGTCCATTGGGTGGGATCTTAAATTATAAACTAGAAAGCAAATACAAATCCTTAGATTTTGACTTTTATTTTTAATTATTATATATGTACATATTACCACATATCATCGACATTTTCACTTACTTGTAGCTTTCCACCTATTTCGTTCATTAAATTATCTAATTTATTCACTTTCCACAGTTCTTTGCATATATTAGCTATAACTCTCAATTTATTTCTACTTTTGGTTATTCGCTTCTCAAATTCCTTAACTTCATCCATTCCATTCGTAGTTGGTACATTTTGAACTAATTCATTTAATTGTGAAATATGATTTCTTAGTGATTTATTCTCTATTCCCTTTTCATATTGATCTATGTTTTCTCTCCAGTAATTTACTAAGCCTTGTATGTATCCTATTATTAAAAATCTTTGAAATCCTGTTTGATATCCATATTCTTTACCTTCATTGTACTGTTGTTTAGTTGAGAAGTCTTGCCCTTCCTGATAACCTTGTTGATAATATTCTTCTTCTAGGTTTAATAGTTTATCCATATCGTAGTCAACCTCTGTCATATCCACTTTATTTAACTTTCTTCTCTTGTTGATATCAAATATCGTATTAGAATTCATCTTGCTTCAAATATTGAAGTTCATCGCACCCATTTCAGTTTTTTTAATAAAATCCAAGTCAAAAGTAATATACATCACAATGGATAATAATGATAAGCAATACGAGGATGACATGCTAAATGATGATTTGCCTGGTAATAATGCAAGATATAAGCTGAAGCATCGTAACGAAGTACGATTAAATTATGATTCAGATTCATCGCTTGAAGATTATCGTAACGAAGATAAGCAAATAACTGATAACAAAGGTGAGGAATCCAATGATGATATGTTCGCTAGTGATGAAGATAATGATGAAGGTGTTGGAGATAATGAAAAGGATAAAATAGACGATTCAGAAACTATTGGCAACTTGCAACATACTGAAACTTTTGAGAAGGACCAATTTGATGATCCTGTGAACGAAGATTACAAACTCAATCCAATATATGAAAGTGACGATGACAACGAAGACAATGAAGATAGCAATAATGGAGAATATAATAAAACAAAAATAGATTATTATACAAATATAGAGCATTTGCATAATGCTGAGAGTGCAGCTCATCCAAAACATAAACTGGCACCTAAAATAGAGGCATTTGATCTCATTGAAGAAGCAGAAGAAGGAAAATTCGATGAAAGCGGTAATTTTGTTAGAAATACATCTGATAATGATAACGATAAAAACGAAGAATGGATGGATTTAAAAAAGAGTGATATAAAAAGAGCGAAGAAAGCACAACTAGAGAGAAATAGATTAGATAGGGAACGAAGAATGAAAGAATCCACCGATGAATTCATACCGATAGCAAAACTATTATCTGATTTAATTGAGTTGTTAGAACCTGTCGAAACTCCTATGGAAGCACTTACAAGATTTTCTCCTCCTAAGAAATCCAGATCTAGGAAAAAAGATCATAAGAATAACGAAAATGATCAAGAAAGGAAAAAAACAGTTATCAGACTTACAGAAATATGCGATCAATTAATTAATAAGAAGGGCATTATAAATACTTATGAATTAACAAGAGAAGAATTGATGAGAAAATATACACAAGAGACAGGTACTGACTATAAGCAAGGGTCGCGGGGAAAGAAAAGGACAAGAGAAGATGATGAGGATAATAGTAAGGATGCTTATTATGGTGATAAAATTTGGGAATTTAAGTGGAACGGGCAAGATGAAATTCATGGACCATTTTCTGAATTTGAAATGTATCATTGGTCAAAAGATTACTTCCAAAATAACGTTGTAGTACGAAAAATTAATGAAAAGAATTTTAAATCAGTAATTAATGTTAATTTCGATTCAGGTGACATGTCATAATTAATCAAGTAAATAATTGTGCAATGGAAAATTGATTTCTTTAGCAATTCCTTCAACCATTGGCCAACTAATATTACATTTCCATCTTATCTTAGAACTTAAAATATCTAATGCAGTTGTTCTTGTCAATAAACCTAGCGATACTAATGTAGCTATTTGACTGTTCAAGTCTATATTTGAGTTTAAAGTAAACTTTGCAAACTCCTGTTCCTTCTTTGCTAACTCTCTTTCTGAAATATTATCATAAAAATTCAAAAAGTCTTCGTTAGACTTGTTTAATGATTCTGATTCATTTCTGTAGATCACCGATATGATGGCTAGCAATCTTTCTAAGTCAAAATAATTTGGTGTAAGCAACCTTGTATTGATATCATCTTTCGATAATTCCCCCTTTCTAATCTTGGTCATGTTTGATTTTCTCTTTTTTCCTTTAACTTTAATCCTAGAAAATATATTTAAATCATTTTTAGGTTCATTAAATGATGCCAAATACGATGCAATAAGTATGAACTTAGAATGAATGGGTAAATCATCAACATTAGTAGCGTTCGTAGATTTGGCTTCATTTAGGGTACCGTATTCACGAACCAAAGAATTATTTATAATTGAATCGTTAGTGAAGAGATCCTTATTCTCTCTATATATTCTGAGAAATTCACTCGGTTTGTATCTTCCTTCGACCACCGGCCGTATGAAGCTCCACCATAATTTAAAGCAGATGTCTATTATTAAATTCATATTAGAACCTGTATATGCAAAAAAAGAATCAATAATTATTTTAGAATACTGCTTCCAAAATTCTTCGCCTGAATGATTATCATACATCTCATTCTCAAAGAAGCAGAACTGATTATTTTGTAAAATTTCAACTATTTGATCTTGTGTATATGGCGTGAAATAAATATGAGGAACTGGATTTGTACTTATCTCCTTAGGCTCATCACTGGATATGACGAATATCACGGTTAGATTCTTAATCTTAGACTGCTCTTGTAACCTAAGAAAGCCAGGGAATAACTCATTTGTAGGATCCATACATTGATCGAATCTGTCTAATAAAAGAACATGAGGATCTTCATAATTTGTTTCTTCTATAAACTGCTCCAATGCAACAACAAAACTTGCAAAAGTTTCACATAGCTTTCCAACATTGGTCACCTCAATTCCTTTGTAGTTAAATAGTTGATTATACTTAGACATATCAATACCACTATCTATTCGAATTCGCTTTAAACATCTTTGAAGCAAAAGCTTTTTTGTAACACATTCATCACACTTGACTATTGTCTTCTTTATTCCCAACTTTTCTAAATATCTTTCAATGGTGTAAGTTTTGCCAATTGACTTGTAACCATGAACAATTAAAGACAGAACCAGTGTTTCCAGCTCTTTAGAAATAAATGCATTAAGAAGTTCAATTTGAGTCTCTCTGCATCTTACTTTCTTTTTTAAATCAGCTAGCACTTCCTCTGTTAAAGACATTTCTTTGCTAGTTGACGCTTCGTTATTTGTATCGATTTGCAAATTTAGCTTTTGAATCGCAAAACGCGAGAAGCATTTCTACGCACATCTGACTTAATGTATACATTATAAATAATATTTAAATACATATGCTAGTTATAACGCAAGTTCTTCAATTATACCTTTAAGTAACTGTAAATTGAAAAATTCACCAACGTTAGAAAATATTTGGAGTCTCTTATCCACTTCTGTATATTTTAAAGTCTCTGTCCATTTCCCAGAGCACTTACAATACTCACTCATGTTATCACTCTTGATTTGATGACACTTAGAACATTTAAGATCCTGAATGTAGAACTTGGTTAGCAATTTATTATATTGGGCTACGAGTTCCTCTTCGATTGCCACTCGATTGTACGTTTTATTGCAATTACTGCAATTCCAAATATTCTTCTCTTCATCACGACAGAAATCAATATCTCTAATATAGTTACAATAATCGCATATAACATGGGGAATTTTCAAAGAGCTGCTTGGATTTTTGAAGGCTGCTTCATCACTAAATTCTTTGATATCAAAAATTGATAATAACTCCCTTCTAAAAAGTCTAACTTCTATGTTTCTCTTTCTTGATAACCCAAACACGGCGCACAAGAACTTAACTAGTTCCAAGGAAGGATTTTTCATACTCGTACAAGAACCAGGTAATTTAGGAAAGTCATATTCTTGTCTTAATTCTGGGTTAAGGATTGATTCGTTTTGACGGCGTGCCAATTTTTCTATCCTCTTTTGTAATGGCTTTCTAAATAGTTCCATCACTCCGTTTGAAATGCTCTCCTCTTCTGCCTCATTTGAATCAAGCTTTTTCTGGCCCTTTAATATATGCGCAATCTGAGTGACTCTTGGTGTACCAGTTTGAGTACCAGGGATTAATGTATCGTTTTTAAATTTAGTCAATGAATCTAAGAATATAATTAGCCAATCTTCAAATTCATTTTGAAAAATGACAGGCAAAAATTTCGTAATCTGCCATTTGTTCACAGGTATCAAGTTTTGCACTTCATCATTGGTTATTTCCGTACAGCATCTACCACCGAAGTTATATTCATCCATCCAAACTAATAAATCCCAGTATTTAACAATTCTCAAATCTAAAAAGTTGAACAATGGTTTTGATCTGGCAGCCTTAAGGATGTACTGACCATAAGCATATGAATTCTCAATGGAAACTTTAGTTGTTTGTATAAGCATCTTGTTTCTATTAGCAAAAATGACTTGTGCATTCATTCTTTTAAATTCACCAATCAATTGTAATAATGCCTTAGTAGTTAAGTTGTGAACATGGTAATGCAAAGAATAATCATACAAAAGAGAATCTGATCTTTGGACCCAAGTTACTAAGTTATTCATCATAGAATCAGCGTTATCATTATTTTTTAATGCATCATCCCACCAATCTTTAACCATTCCTCGCAATATACCTAATGCGGGCGTAGAAAACGAATCTTCAGCGATTGTAGAAGCTCCATTATTATTATCAAATTGAACTACATCATCAGCTAAGTCGGTCCCTTCAGCTTCATTAATTAATGCGCTAGTCAAAATCGTATTAATTGTTAGGGTACCGATCTCAACTTCCAAACAAGCTGTTTCATAAATTTCTGGGTTATTGATAGTAGGAAATTCCAAATTTTCAAAGTCTTGGGCTTTATCCATCTCGAATCCACCATGGTCTGGCAATGGCCGTGATGAAAGCCATAACACTATATTGTTCTGGCTTAATCTTCTGGCATATTCGATGTCGATTAAATACCCCATATTCTCAATTTGTAAATTACATAAAGGAACGTTACCATACTTAGCCAAAGAAATCAATTTTTTGATCCATGATGCCAATACAAAGTAATGATTAACAACTCTCTTAATAATCAACGACTGCCATCCAACAGCAGGTAGTGAAAGTTCACTTATATTCATTTTTATAGTTGGAAAGCTCGCTGTTGACTTTAAAAGGTTCAAGACTTTTGTTGTATAAGGAGATTGTACTGCGAGTAATGCTCTATTGCTTCTACTCTCATATATTTTGCTTATGCAATTGTCCATCTTCTTAAATATTTTGCCCGTGTCATGGAAATAAGTATGCTCAAATTTCATTTCTTCGGGGTATTCAATAATGCTGTACATTTTGCCCAATTTGTCTTTCTTGGCTTCAAATATCTCCCTATATATTTTGTCCATATTAGGTGGTAACTCCTGTGCATTTGCAGATGGCTTTAATACAAATATGCTTGCTGAATTTTCCCAGGATTTAAAAATGATAAAGAATTCATAACTATTAGTTACAAGGTGTAAAAAATAGATAATGTCCATACCAAAGCGCTTCAAATAAGAATCCCTTTCTACTTTCATTAAATCCTTCTTATTAAACCCGTTTTTCAAACCTTTACCTAAAGCTCCAACCTTAGTGTCATCGAATCTGATATTGTTGCCTAAATCGATAATTGCCCTTTCTACTGCTCCAACTTGAGTTTCATAAAGTCCCAAAATATTTGAATCCTGTAACAAACTTTCAACTTTTGTAGACTCCTCTAAATAAGTTTCTTCCGGCATAGTTAACTTGTATAAGTTAGAACCGTCATGACCATTTGGTAACACAGCTGTTGATTTTTCAATTTCACAGTTTCTGATAGTTTTCTTAGGTGATAACTCAGTCTTGAAACTAGCATATATCTTTTTTGGTATATGAAAAGTGAAAGAGTGTACCTTATTACTAGCCAGGACGTATACTTTAATATCACCCGGTTTAGATGGGTCCGCTTTATATTCTAGGATCTCCCAATCAGAGCCAGCAATATTTTCAGCTTGTCTTCGAATAATTCCACCAACTGAAGACCTATGAGAAGATTCTGCATTTGATCCAAATAGCTTCTTTCTTCTTTCTCTGGTTTTCTCTTGGACTTTCCATTTAGCCTTTTGATATTGTAAGAATCCAGCATAATCTACAGTCATTGATGGGCATTCGCCATTTAAAATGGCACTGTTTCTCTCCTCTTCTTCAGAATCAGAGACATTGTTTGCCTTTCCACTTCTCCTCTTTCTTGATGTTACCTTGCTAACTCGTCCTTTCGGAATAGAGGCGTCTAGTTCTCCAAAGTCTTCTATGTCTTGGATTGATTTAATCTGTTTCTGTAATACTTCTTTCTTTGTAGCTTGACCGAAAAATGATGAAATTGATGATTGCTGTTTGCTATCTTCTTTGGAGCTGATTCTCTTTTGTAACCACTCAGGATGTGGTACTCTTGGAACTGGATTCTTTACATCTTGTAATGCTGCTGGAATAGAGATAATTTTTTGAACAACAGAAGCCAAACGTTCATAGTAATAGTTCCAATCGATAACACTTCTTGGATCAAAATTTTCTAACGACGGATCTTTCAACCACTTCTTCAAAAAATACTCTTTCTTCTCCGAAGAAAAAATAGAGACTGGAACTGCTCTTTCTGTGACGGGGCTTCCAATTGGTTTGGAACTAATGATATATTTACATGCCAAACCAGCATCTTTAACCATTTCTTCACCAAGAAATTCACCCAATCTTTTCGCTGTCGTGATTGAAGTAGACTTTTGGTTTCCATATTCTGACAAACTTTTTGACATACTTCTATTTTCACAAATAAGTTCAATTAAGTCCTCGTCCTCCAACATACCTCCTTTGGTATCTAAAACATCTAGCCAATTATTTGCTACTGTAGCCACAGATTTGTAACAATTTTCTAAGCTGTCACCTTCCAAGAACAATTTAAAAATGTCAGATTGAAAGTTTTTAATCAATTGTAGTTCACCTCTTCTTTTCAATTCGAAACCCTTCAATTCAGCTAATGATCCATCATCATTAAACACTGCGTACCTTTTTTTTAACCCTTTTCCTTCCTCTTTAGATGTGGGTAAAACCATTGCTTTGTATGGACCATCAACTTCAAAGAAAATTGAATTTTCAGATCTAGTCTTATACTTGAAAGTGTTAGGATCAACCAAGTCTTGATATTGATGATTGGTGAATTTATCATGAACCAAATAGTTCAACATAGAGCATGGGTATTCAAGAAAGATTTTCTTACCATCTTTACATTTAAAGTAATAGTTTTCGGGGAACGATTTAGGTAAAATACACCAAATACCATCAGTATCTAATTCTAATGGCCTTCCTAACCTTTCAACTAAAGACCTAGCCATTTGAATTATAGTTGCTCCTGTAAGACAAGTAATACCAGCCATTTCCATTGAGTACCAACGAGAACCTTTTCTCATTACATAACCATAAAAGGAGTTTAAAATGACTTTATGCGCTAATTGCAAGGAGTCGTATAAAACCACCATCTTCTTAGCTTCATCTTTTCCGATTGTATCATTTTTGTCTATCTTTGCAGTTTTACCTTTCCACACTTTAGCTAATGTTTTAAATTCATAACGACGGTCCCTAAATGATCTAACAGTATCAACGTAAAATGGGTTTTCACGCTGACAAACAATTGCTTCTCTAGTGACAGTTTTAGACTGCTTTATTCTATGATATACTTTTCTCGAATAATCGCTCAATCTCTTTTTGATTAACAGAGCTTGTTCTGAGTACGATAACTCATCAAATGTTTTAGGAGGAAGCCATGATTTTGCTGGAGGGAAGGTTTCGTTTTGTAATGTTCTCTTTATCATACCGTATTCATTCATTTCAGCGGGATAGTATTCACCTCTCCAAGACCAAGGCAATCTACGATCACAACTCTTACCAGGTCTATTGAAATCACAAGCAGCACAATCTTCTTCTGATTTCATCGAATCTGGTTGTAATCTATTAGAAGTCATGATATTAGGATACATTGAAGCGACATCAACATGAAAAATTAAAGGATTTTCATTCCTAATAGGATTTTCCCTTAAGTTAACCAAACTATCCTTAATCTGGTTATAAATCTCATCGTAGTTTTCAACATCTTCTACCTTTTTGTTATTTTCAACTTCAATACAAAACTTTAATGCATTATGTAAATCACCTAATATCTCATCAACTGCTGTTGGGTCTATTTTGAAATCATTAGGTAAATCACTACGAAAAACACCAGCCTCTAGCGATTCAACGTGCCCACCAACGTAAGTTTCAGACTCTAACAAATGACCATCATAGAATCTTTCAATTGGTTCCGTATGTTTGTTGGGCAAAACAATTTCGTTCTCGTAGGCTTGAACCATTAATAACATTTCACATAAGGTACCTGTACCTTTTCTTAGAACTTCATCTGGATTTAATGGAATAATAGTACATAAAGAGAAAATAAAAGGATGAACATACTTATAATATAAGTAATATGTTGCAACCGCATCAGAGACGGAGTACTCAGACAATAGTTGTGGTTTTTCGTAAGCATAAGGAGTCATGAGTTCTGGATCCAATTCTGTTGGATTATAACCTAATTTTGCGGTAGTAACTGCCTTTAAACCTTGTGAACCTTGAGGTAAATAAGAATCTCTTTTAACCCATCTATAGCAATCCATATGCACACAGTACTTCGATTTATATTCACCATCATTATCTTTTGCAAACCCAATTTCTTCAAACATATCCATATCATGAAATGTAGTTCTTTTTTCCACGAATGGCCAATCAAAAAAATCACCATTGAAAGTGGCAATCACTGTAGGTCTAGAATCTCTTATATGTTCAAAAAATCTTACTAAAACCATCTTTTCGTCTGGTTCATTGAAAATAGTAAACAAACCAGGGTATTCTGGTTTTGGAGTATATTCAAAATCTTCAATATCTTCGGATATAATTTCTCTATTAGTGATTAAAAAACCCTCACCATCAATCATATAAGATATCATCATGATTTGATCTGTTTTTGCATCCGGAAACTTTAGAGGAGCTTTCGTTGTTTCTATATCAAAAGCTAAAATAACTGGATCGGCAAAGGCAATTTTTTCTTTATCCTCTTCTAATCTTACTTCTGAATGTTTAACAAAAACGTCGTACCATTTTCCAACTCTGATACTTTCATCGATAGACACTCTAACATGATAAGGAACATCATATTCTCTAATATCATCTATTAATGTCGACGGATCCGCGATTTGCTCAGAACCCTTATCATTGAAATTTGTGTGAATCTCTGTGCCGTTGGCATTATTTACGTTGTTGAAGTTCATCACTTGATAGATATCTCTAGTATCTCTCTTCATCTTGTTGTCTTTAATTATAGGATTGAGCAATCTTCTGGCACTCAAAAGGTCCACAACGTTATGAAAGCTTAATTTGACTAAGGTCTTTTTTAAACCCACTAAATGGTTGGGTAATGATAAATCCTCCTTGGCAACCCTCAGCAATCCTTTCAAACTGCAAGGTTCCAAGATTTTTCTAAGCATTTCTTCTACCTCTGATTCGTGGCCTGGTATTATTACCAAATAAAAATATGGATCATATCGTATCGTTGCCTTGAATGATCCACCTTCCTCATCTAAAAAGTAATAATCTACCCCAGAGTATCCCGCCAAATATTCATCAGTAGGTATTGTGGTAGCATGCATATTTATGAGCCATCCCTTTCGTGGTTTAGCACCATCCATTTCACCATGTTCGATTCTGTCAAACCCCATAATAGAATCCAACTGATCTATTCTGTTAACCAATTCTCGCTTTTGTATAGAATCGTTCAACATAGGGTTATTTGCAATCAGAGGATCGATTGCATCTGCTCTATTATATCCATTATTCTTAAATTCTGACTTTACCGTTGAGTTCTTAACAAACCGTCCTGTTCCAGACCCATTACCATATTTTGACGGCATTTGATCAGCAACTTTTATATTTTTTCTATTTTAAATAAATCCAATTATTGTTAAAATAGTTTGGAACAAATACTTAGGATATTCGGCAATTAAAGAGATCGTAAAAGGTAATAGGTTGTTTAAATATATTTGATTAACCTATACTATTTTTTGCAGGAATTATAAAGCTCATCTACGCGTCAGATTTTTTTAGATGCTCTACGCGTAACAGTTACAGTTACACTAATCTCAAGATTGACTTAAATAAATATAATCAGCTATACACAATTTGACTATACATACCAATAAGTTGGATGTAGAATACTATTATACGAAATTAATGAAATCGTTACTCAAATTATCTACTCATAAAAAGAACTATGAGAAATTGGAAAACAACAGCATAAACAAATAAAAATTGAATTCTTATCTTTCTCTGTTTGCTAGATATACTATTGCTAGCGGAACTACCAGCAGCAGAATTTGCGGTAGGTAAAACCAAAAATTTCAACGATCTCATTAGGAACAATGCTAAACTCGTAGTAAAGATCACAACCACTCCGTAGTACACCATCCATCCACCACCAATTAAATGTTTCCAGCAGAGTAAAGTAATAATCGTCACATACTTGTAGCCACTAAAACTGATTAAATCCCATAACGAGCTTTGAGTAGAACAATTCAACAAGTAAAGACCAACCTTAAATATCAAAATGTCTAGAAAAGAACAAGCTAACGTTTGTGATGCCAAATATCCGAATAATTGTGGATGGAAATCACCTTTCAATCCTTGAAACACCGCCCACAACAAGATGTATGTTATGAAGGACATTAATGGGATGTATAGATCTGGTGCATTTATGTCTTGACTTGGCGGAGCAAATGTAACGCTTGCAGTACTCCCTGAAGTGCCTGGGTTTTCAGCAGTGAATCTTGTCCAGTTTTTATTTCTATATGGAAATAATATTAACAATATCTTATTAAAAACATACGAGTTGCTGACTCTGAAATAATAGTTAAGGTCACCTGTTCCTGATATAATTGAACCAAAATTTTGTTGTAAATATTGATTTGACGATCCAATACTATTTTTCGCTAACTGAGCTGCCATTGATGTTGCTGGATCCTGGAAAAAGTTAGCATATGGTCCAGATTGTTGTGTTTGCGGTTGCTGGCCCATATTACCGTACTGCGCATGTTGTTGTGGTTGTTGGAATGATGGATGCTGAGGTTGAGGATGCTGTAAGTTCTGTTGCTGGAACTGTTGCTGTTGCTGCTGCATATTAGCAGCATTTCCATATGGTGTATACATAATATGAATTCTTGATTGTGAAGAAGATGTTTAAATGTTGTTTAAAGCTGTCAAGTTTGTAGATAGTTTGGAAAGACTATTCGTCGATTTCCTAATTTAGTAATAAGTGGAGTTGCGAAGCCCATTAATAGCAATGATAAAGAGTTGCGATTTTATAAGCCTTTAAAAGCTATCTAAATCAAATTATTCAAAATTGTACCCGTGTCTATATAGAAAACATAAAATGATAAAAGGGAAAGTATTGGTGGTTTCAAACAGATTACCAGTCACTATCAAGCGATCCCCTAACGGGACATATGATTATTCAATGTCATCTGGGGGGTTGGTTACGGCATTGCAAGGGTTAAAGAAATCTACTGAGTTTCAATGGTTAGGGTGGCCAGGACTAGAAATTCCAGATGACGAACAAAAGAAGGTTAACAAGGATTTAATGGATAAGTTTAACTGTACTGCGATATTCTTAAGTGATTCAATTGCTGATTTACACTATAATGGATTTTCGAACAGTATATTATGGCCATTATTTCACTACCATCCAGGAGAAATGAATTTTGATGAAAATGCATGGGCTGCATACATTGAAGCAAATAGAAAGTTTGCCATCACAATTGCACAGCAAGTTGAAGACAATGATATGATTTGGGTGCATGATTATCATTTGATGCTATTGCCTCAAATGTTGAGAGAAGAAATAGAGAATAAGAAGAAAAATATTAGAATAGGATTTTTTCTTCATACACCTTTTCCTTCCTCGGAGATTTATAGAATTTTGCCTGTTAGAGAAGAGATTTTGGTTGGTGTATTAAGTTGTGATTTGATTGGATTTCATACGTATGACTATGCCAGACATTTCTTATCTTCAGTTTCAAGAATTGTTTCGAATGTTACCATCCTACCAAATGGTATTGAGTATCAAGGAAGATCAATTGGGATAGGTGCCTTCCCAATTGGTATAGATGTTGATAAATTTACTGAAGGAGTAACTAAGCCTAAAGTGGTGGATCGTATTAAGCAATTGAAACAAAAATTTAATGACACCAAGATTATAGTTGGAGTGGACAGGTTAGACTACATCAAGGGTGTTCCTCAAAAGCTTCACGCATTTGAAATATTTCTTACAGAAAATCCTGAATGGATTGGTAAAGTTATTTTAGTCCAAGTTGCTGTTCCTTCTCGTGGGGACGTTGAAGAGTATCAAAGTTTACGAGCAACAGTCAACGAACTAGTAGGTAGAATTAATGGAAGATTTGGTACTGTTGAATTTGTGCCAATTCATTTCATGCACAAATCCATTCCATTTGATGAATTAATTAGTTTATATCATATTTCTGATGTTTGCTTGGTTAGTTCTACAAGAGACGGTATGAACCTTGTTTGCTATGAATATATTGCATGTCAGCAAGAAAATAAAGGTGTTCTTATTTTATCAGAATTTGCAGGTGCTGCTCAATCCTTAAATGGAGCAATTGTTGTTAACCCGTGGAATACTGAAGAATTGAGTTACGCCATAAAAGAGAGTTTGACATTACCAGAAGAGAAGAAGGAACTTAATTTCAAAAAGTTATTTGACTATATATCGAAGTATACGTCTGGATTTTGGGGAGAGAGCTTTGTTAAGGAATTACGTAAATGCTCCGGTCAAGATAAGATTACTGAAATTAAATAGTTATAAGACAATAAATATGATTAAAGCCAAATGATAAACATTATATATTCATTATAAATTATTCGCCAAGTCCACCTAGATGAGACTTTTTGTGTTGATGCTACTATTCAACATCAGCATCCTCTGTAAGTAGATCTGAAAAGCTATGGCTTTCTAAGTTGGCAATAGTTAAAGGATTTATTACTTTTCTATTCTCTTTATCCTTGTCATTATTATGTCTATCTTCAATGTATAATTGTGGTGTTTTATCTATTTTATGCTTTATATTTATGGATGTATTGTTAGATAACTCCTTAGATGGCATTTCTGTGGTTATAACTTGAGGCCTTATTCCTAATTTGGAGAGTAATGAATTGTTTGCATAAAGATATGAGCTGGCATCCGATAAAGGAGGTTTAGATAATAGTGTACTTTCAGAATATAACGAACCATCTGGTAATTTTGGTTTACGTCTAGCAAATTGTTTTTCACGGGAGTTTTCTCCATTGGCCTCTATATCCTGAGAATTCCTCCTATTATTTTCCTTCTTCAGCTTGTTCTTTGGCTTTTCGTCTCTTTCTTTGAAATGGCTTACGTCTTCTTCAAAATTCTTTGCCAGATCAAATGCAGACATCAAATATGGTAATTCATCTGATAAAGAAGTTTTTTGAAGAAAAGCTGACGTTGAAAGTGATGATATTGATTCCCTTCTTCCAAAATTTGTTGATTCCTTATTGGGTGACAGTGGAGGTTTTATTTGTTGTGATTTTGTAATTGATCGAATGAGTGGAGGGTTATGCAGAGGTGCTGATGATGAATACATCGATGAGGAAACAAAGTCAGAATCATAATCATAATCATAGTCGTCATCATCATAATCTGAGATATCATTATCAGTGTGGCGCGATTTGTTTAAACCAGTATTGACTAGTTCTTTTTCTATTGAAAGAATATCCTTATCTTTTTCCTCATTCATTTCGTTTAATGCTATTTGCTGTATTCTGTCTAACTTATAGACATTGAACATTTGTTCCATATCATTGATAACTGCTAAGCATTCGTACTTAGCGGATGTATCTTCCATTTCTATAGCATTATTCAATTGTTTTAATAAACTAACAACAAAGTTTTTATATGTAATTGCAGTTGAATTGTCTTCATCATCTTCTAGCATTGTCTCTAAGTCGGTTCCTATTGTAATTAGTTTGGCCTTCAGATATGCAATTGTTATCTTGTCCGATATTTCATCCTTAAGTCTTATATTTCTTAAAGTTAAAGAAGTCAATAATGTTCCACTATCCAGAATATATTCCAATGGCGTTAGCGTCCTCAGTGATTTGGTGATATAGTCAAGATCGACGGATATTTTATTTAATTTTCTGTTGAACTCATTGCAATTATTCAACACTTTCAAGGATATACTATTGTTGAAATTCTTGATATCTTCATTATTATCTTTATTAAAATGGTTTTCTGAATTAATGTCTAACGAAAGAAATGCCCAATTCTTTAAGTTTAATTCTATCTTCTCTAAACTTTGTAGGATCGTTATTGATAATTGACATAGCTTCGATACTTTCCTTTCTGTTAATGGAAAGCTGTGTATAATATGGATTAATTCTTTTGTTTTTTCTTTTTCTTTATTTAAATCTGGATCCTGTGCCAATTTTAATATAGGATCTTCGTAAACATCTATATCGGCTAATGACATCGAAATCTACCAAGTCTAAATGCAAAAAATGAATTCTTCAGAAGCTTGTCTTTTTCAACGCAAAATAAAAAAGTATGAATATTTTCGAAGTGAATGCTATAATGTCCAGTGTAAAACTTTTAAATGTAAATGACAATGTGGTCTATTATTATACCTTTAAACGTTAACAGTATCTAAATCAAACATCAACCTATAGAATGCTCTTGCTTGCCATTTTTATATGCAGGATATAGGGCTACAATAATATAAACAATTAAGAAAATGTTGTTAACTTACGTATTGATATAAAGTAACTATCAAAGATAGATTAAATGGTGCTTAAAGCTATTATATTTAAAATATGCCTGTAACGGATTAAGATTTGTCAATTTAATCCGAAAAAATGTAGTAACTCCACTTGTCATGACTATCAAGACATTGAATTATTGTGAATATTAGTGAGGAAATAATGTTAAATTAATGCAAATCCTGGTATTTTAAAGAAGTCCCTTCTCTTTTAAAACTCGGTTTTTCATAGTTGCATACCACTCATCAATATTACTATTATGGTGTACAGCAACAATTATAATAGTCATGTTGTCAAAACCTATGCCTGTCACATTGTTAGCCATTCCAACACAATCATTCAAAATGAATTCTGTTATATGATGTATTTTCCAGTCCAAGCTTAGCTTGTCTCTTATGATCTTTATTAACTTAGTATTAGTATAACAGTCCCAAATTCCATCACATGCTAAAACAACAAACTCGGGTTGCTTTAAGCTCTTCAAGTCATAAACTACCACATCCGGTTCCACACTGACCAGAAACAATTCAGGCGGTAAATGAATTAAATCATGTTTAAAATATTTCTTATTCGCTGCAATATATCTGTTTTGGTTATTCAGCATATCCATGTAGGGCAATTTGAATTTAAAGTCGCCAAATGCTCTAGATAATGCTAAAATCTCGTTCACCCTGCCATTCACGACATATCCCCCACTGTTTTCAATTCTCACTCTTTCTCCCATGGTGGACGGTTTATGGTCAAACGATAAAGTCTTAGGTGCACCCCCTTCTAAAGACATTATACATCTTGAATCACCAGCATTGGACACAATTATGTACTCATTGGCTATAATTGATGCGATAATCGCAGTTGTACCACAATTGGATGAGTCCTCATTCGTTAGATCTCGATCAATCTTAAAAAACGAATCCTTTAGTACTTTCATGTATGATGCTAGCTCTCTATTCTCGTTCCTCAACAAACGACTCAAATCTCTAAAAACCATAGTTGGTAGCTTGTCACTCACAACTTCAGCGCATGCCTTCCCACCATGACCATCGAAAACACCAAACACAGCAAGGGATTCATCCTCATTCACCTTCACATTATGAGCATCTTCCATACTCATTCTATACCCTTGCATCAGTCCTATGCAATACGTAATTGTATCATATGACTTATGCTCCATGGTTTTATCCTCAATTGGATGTGATAATAATTGGCCCATATTATTTTATTGGTTATGATCAGTTTTTAGACGTGTTACAAATATGCAAAATCCAATTATAATTCTTTGGTTCTATATTCTATATTTGTATTGTAAACGATGGTTAGTTTCGTATTATCCAATGTCTATATAAACCGATTTATTTATATTTAGTTATCTTATTGTGAATCTCATAGTAAAGTCCCAATATATGATGCTTATCAACACGAAAAAGGAGTGCGACATTGCGACATAGCCTGGTACAAAAATGTCGCTCGCAACTATTTAAGGCCCCAGAAAATATGAAACATTAGGAATAAAATAAGATGCATGTGTCAAATACAATAAAAATGAAGATTCCAGTAATAGATAGAGACTCAAAAGATGGTGATATTAACTATAAGGCCCCCAATTCCTTTCCAATTGGACCTAATTTCGTGAAATATAAGCATAACCCTATTTTAACGCCTAATCCTGATAACGAATTTGAGAACTCGTATTTGTATAACGCAACAGCGATAGTTATCGATGACCGGGTATTTTTACTTTACAGAGCACAAAATCAAGATAAGATTTCTTCAGTTGGGATTGCATGGTCTAATGATGGGTATAAGTTTGTTAGGTATAACAAGCCTATCCTTAAACCCACTGAATCGTACGAAAAAGGTGGTTGCGAAGATCCTAGAATTGTAAGAGATCCAGTCTCCAAATTATTCATTATGACCTATACTGCTTATGACGGGAAAGATGCTAGGTTGTGTGTTGCTACGTCCGAGAATTTATTTGATTGGACTAAATATCCACCTATTATCAACCCTGATTCAGATTGGCATGACATTGCTTTCTCTTCTGATAATAAGGAGACAATTAGAACAGGGTGGCTGAAGTCAGGAGCAGTATTTGTAGAAAAGCATAAGGATGGTAAATATTACATGATTTGGGGTGATTCTGCCTTCCATTTGGCAGAATCGACAGATTTGATAAGCTGGAAATTAACATCCAAGACTTATGAAGACAATATTTTTGCCAAGGGGATCTTCAATTGGCAGGATAAATTAATTGAACCAGGTGCAGCACCCATAAAGTTACAATATGAGCTGTCCACAAAAAATCACTATGTCTTATTCTATAATTCAGCTACTAGAGGTAGCGGAGAATACCCGAAGGGTACCTATGCCATATCTCAAATGTTGGTGGATTATGATGATTTATCTGGACCATTGGCAAGAATGGATAAGCCTTTCTTGGTTCCCGATTCAGATAATGAAATAGAAGGCCAAGTTGACCAAGTTGTTTTTACTGAGGGAATTGTTCAATTCCATGGTAAATGGTTTTTGTACTTTGGTCAAGGCGATTCTGAACTCGGTGTAGCAACATGCGATGTTTGATTTGTCTTGCTTCGAATCTGTTAAATGTTTTTAGATTGTTTTATATAAATGAATTATGATGAATTATTTTGCAATACTAACTTTACCTGCATATTTAAGTTGAAAGGAATGTAATTACTTCACCACGATTTCTTATTTTTAAGAACCTACAAAGCATCCTACTTTATGTTCTTTTGTATCTTTTACTTAGGCATTTTTCATTAAAAATCAAATTAGTGAAATTAATTGCAAAAACCCAAAAAAGTGCAGTTTTTCATAAAATACCAAATTTTATACCAAGAAATATTAAAAACTCCATTGGACATTTAAGTAAGCAAATATGATATAACATATTATCCTTGTGCTTTGCTATCTTTCACATTTTAATATTGAAACTATCTATGATAATAGGAAGTTAGAAGTTATATATTTAAAATTCGTGCGCGTACCAAACACTGGTTTATCTTATCTAAGGGCAAATAAAGTACACATTTTATACTGCATTAGTACGTTGCAAACATATAAGGTATGCCTTACACTGATGTGAAATTAAATTCAAATCTAAAGAATGTAAAATGTCCACTATGTCATAAACCTGAAGTGTATTACAATGATTTAGTATGTTCCAATTGCAATAATAATGAACTTGAATTGATACGAAATTCATGTATTGAAAATGATTCGATTAATGACGTTGCTAGAGACAAAATTAATGGAATATTTTCATCCTGTCAGAACGTTAAGGACTTGAAAGCTATAGAAATATCTCCAAAGCAACCCAATGAAACACCTCAGCCTTCTATCAATGCGATGAAAAGTTTGGCATTGCAACTAATAAAATTAGACATATTGAATACGAATTTGAAGATAAAAAATATAGATAAAACGCAGGAATTATTAGATTCAAGAATAAGTGAACTAACTGATACCATACTGACACTTCAAAATAAGCTTGAGACAAAGCAGGAAAAATTGGAATCAAATTGTTCAAAATTATTTAAGAATTTTGAGGAAACAGACGACGGCCTAAAATCAAAAATACAAGAATATAAATTCGAAAAGATTAACCAGATCAAGAAACAATCTATTCAGCTTCAATATAACAATTATAAAGTATTGAAAGAGATGGTATTTACTACAAATAATTCAAAATCAGCAAATTTTAATTATATTACTAAGCTTAAAGCAAGTAGTGCAAGTAATTTACTATTTCATAACAGATCTATTTTAAATATTAACGAATTTTTCAGTTTTAATAATAAGTTACCTCAAATCAACGAGTTTTTAGAGAATTTGATTAAATTACAAGTCCATTTACAAGTCATATTTAACATAGACACCTTGAGATTACCGTATTTAGAAGAATTAATTGGATATTTACCGGACTCCAAGTTTTATGATATGATACAAGAGAAGGAAAATTTCATGATAAATGGTGGGAAGCTCAGCTCAGACGAAATAGAAGAGGTAGAGGAAGAGAAAAACTCATCGGTTCAAGAAATGAATGTTGGTGAAGAAAGAGTTATCAAGCTCGGTAATACAATAAAGTTGCCCTTATCTTCTAAAACCATAAATAGTCAATTAAGAAGAGCGTCTTTAAATAAAGACGAATCTGCTTCTTCTTCCGCTAAGCAAAGAGAAGATGAAAAGACAACTCATAAAAAGGCATCTTCACCAATAAGAAGTACATTAAGTGGGAAGAAGATGATTATTTTGCCACATAAGATCCTCACTAAACCATTTACCAAATTGACTGCGAAAGAATACTTGAAGTTTTTACTGATAATTGTGAAGATATTAATTAATTTCAAAACATTTTTTTATTTCACTATTGATTCAATCCCAAATTTACACAAGCAGTCTTCGATGTTATCCAACACAATGAATCAATTTAGAAATAATCTGGAAGAAAAGGACATTCTGTCCAATTTTGAAAAAATATTAGAAAAAGTTGCTTCAATGGATAGGTATTTTACATATAAACTAAACGGGGTACAGAATTCAAAATCATCTGATGGAAATTATGACATGTCAACCAGTAATTTACTGTCTTCTAACGCTGGCACATTTAAATCGTTCAACACGCATTTCACTTCGATGTCGAATGCTAATTATGATTTGCATTCTCCTATTTCAGCTCCAAACTCCACTCATTCATTAAATAGTAGTGCAGTCGTTACACAAACAGATGGGAAACTAAGGCAGTTCTATTCGAAACATTTTAAAAATAGTATTCATAAACCAAGCGATCATGAGATATATGGCAACTTCAGCGAATCAAAAGATGAACAGCTCGAGTATAGCAATGATGCAGATGATGATCTAATGAACGAGTCTGAATTGAAAACTATTATGCAAAATGTCTACAAATTGATGGCAACGGGAACTTCACGCCAAAGGAATTCGAAAATAAATAATAAGTCTAAAAACCTTGATTTTAATGCGATCAATATGATAGCTCAATCAAAAGTACAATTGGACGAGTGGGATGTAGTAAGTAAGATGTACTGATCCTATTCATTATGTATATAAGTTCTACTGTGTATATTAGAGTATAATGTGTAAATTATGTCACATGATAAATTCCTCAAAATTAATCCCTACTCTTATCGAAGAATGGCTGGAAATAAGAGGGTGACGAATAATCTAAACCGATTGATTCAATTGAATTCTAGATTAGACAATTTAAGACATGTTAAACGATAAAGAATTATATGAGTTAAATAAAAAAGCCGTTACTGAAGGGTTTAACATTAAACCAAGAATTAATTATAACACTGTTGGTGGTGTCAATGGTCCGTTGGTTATATTGGATAATGTTAAGTTTCCACGTTACAATGAAATTGTCAATTTAACTTTACCTGATGGATCAGTAAGATCGGGTCAGGTTTTAGAAGTCAAAGGTAGTAAGGCTATTGTTCAAGTTTTTGAAGGTACTTCAGGGATTGATGTTAAGAAAACTAGAGTTGAATTCACAGGTCAAAATTTGAAGATTGCTGTATCGGAAGATATGTTAGGTCGTATTTTTGATGGTTCTGGTAGACCAATTGATAAAGGCCCAAAGATTTTTGCTGAAGATTACTTGGATATTAACGGTTCTCCAATTAATCCATATGCTCGTATTTATCCAGAAGAAATGATTTCTACTGGTATTTCTGCTATTGATACAATGAATTCTATTGCTAGAGGACAAAAAATTCCTATTTTCTCTGCTTCTGGTTTACCACATAACGAAATCGCTGCCCAGATATGTAGACAAGCCGGTTTAGTCAGACCAACTAAGGACGTTCACGATGGGCACGAAGAAAATTTCTCGATTGTTTTCGCTGCTATGGGTGTTAACTTAGAAACTTCAAGATTTTTCAAACAAGATTTCGAAGAAAATGGGTCATTGGAAAGAACTTCCTTATTCTTGAATTTGGCAAATGATCCTACAATTGAAAGAATTATTACTCCTCGTTTAGCATTGACTACTGCTGAATACTTGGCTTATCAAACTGAAAGACACGTTTTAACTATTTTGACTGATATGTCTTCTTATGCTGATGCTTTGAGAGAAGTTTCTGCCGCTAGAGAAGAAGTTCCCGGTAGAAGAGGTTACCCAGGTTATATGTACACAGATTTGTCTACAATTTATGAAAGAGCCGGTAGAGTTGAAGGAAGAAATGGTTCGATTACCCAAGTTCCAATTTTAACTATGCCTAACGATGATATCACTCACCCAATTCCGGATTTAACTGGGTATATTACTGAAGGTCAAATTTCTGTTGATCGTCAATTAGATAATAAAGGTATCTATCCACCAATTAATGTTTTGCCTTCATTGTCCCGTTTGATGAAATCTGCCATCGGTGAAGGTATGACTAGAAAAGATCACGGTGATGTTTCAAATCAATTATACGCTAAATATGCTATTGGTAGAGACGCAGCAGCTATGAAAGCTGTTGTCGGTGAAGAAGCATTATCTACTGAAGATAAGTTGTCTTTGGAATTTTTAGAAAAATTCGAAAAGAACTTCATTTCTCAAGGTGCTTACGAAAATAGAACCGTTTTCGAGTCTTTAGATCAAGCATGGGCATTGTTGAGAATTTATCCAAAGGAAATGTTAAATAGAATTAGTCCAAAGATATTAGCTGAGTTTTATGAAAGAGATAGAGAACAAGAAGACGATGATGAAGAAGAAGAAGATGCCGATAAATCGCATGACAATTTGATTGATGCTTAAACCTTATTAACTTTAGATTTTTTAGTTTTATTTTATTTTATTTCATCTTATTTTACTATATTTATTGTCATCAACTTCCTTTTTTGTTTCAAATCTAAAATTATAGCAATAAAATTTTCGTTTTATTTCTTGTAATTATCTTGCAAAATTAAAAAATACTTTAAAGATAAATGTAATATGGTCTCATAAAATGCCGATCTATTATAAATAACATGATATTCACAAGTATATACTCTCGTTCGTTATATAAAAGATTCTAATGTAACAAGAAATTATTGGAATTCAAAGAAATATAAATTATTTCACTATATTACATAGATGTTAAGTTTAGATTGATGCTTCTTGTTCTCTTTTCAAATTACCAATGTGATTAATAGCAGAACCAGCTTTGAAAAATTCAATTTGATCTTTAGACATAGTATGCTTACACAAAATTTCAAACTCAGTACCATCTTTTTTAGTTACCTTCATTCTTAAAACTCCTCCGTTATTACCATCCTTAGCGATCATGTCCTTCAAATCAACTGTAGTTAATAAATCACATGGAGAAATTTTATCATAGTCAGCTTCATCAGCAAAGGTTAAAGGCAACATACCTTGTTTCTTTAAGTTTGTTTCATGAATTCTAGCAAATGATTTAACTAAAATAATAGAACCGCCCAAAAATCTTGGTGATAATGCAGCATGTTCTCTTGCAGAACCTTCACCATAGTTGTGTTCCGCAACAACAACCCATGGACGACCTTCATCCTTCCACTTCATCATTAATTCTGGAATACCATATTGATCCCCATTTAAGTCATAAGCTTTATTAACTTCTCCAGTATCCTTATTAACAGCACCAATTAAAGTATTGTATGAGATATTTTCTAAGTGACCTTTATATTTCAACCAAGCACCGGCAGCAGAGATATGATCAGTAGTACATTTACCTTCAACTCTAAGCAATACATTGGTAGACAATTCATCTCCTGACCAAGGTTGGAAAGGATCTAATAATTGCAATCTATCAGATTCTGGCGATACGTTAACTTCAACATCGGTTTTTGGTTGTGGGTTAGCTTCTGGGTAGAATTCTTTACGACCCTTGATAAATCCACTGTTAGGTAATTCCTCGCCTACAGGAGCTTGAAATTTAAATGATTTTCCATTTTCTAATTGAATGGAGTCAGTGATTGGGTTGAAATTCATGTCTCCTGAATAAATCATGGCAGTGACCATATCTGGAGAAGTTAAGAAGTTCATAGTATTTCTGTTACCATCATTTCTTGCTCTAAAATTTCTATTAAAAGAAGTGAAAATTGCGTTAGATTCGGTAGAAGTTTTCGAAACATCTGTTCTGTCCCATTGACCAATACAAGGACCACATGCATTAGCTAACACGATTGCACCATTTTTCTCAAAGGTATCAATTAATCCATCTCTTTCAATGGTAGCTCTAATTTGCTCAGAACCAGGGGTAACAAAGAATGGAATCTTTGGCCTCAAACCTGCATCTTCAGCCTGTTTAATAAGAGACACAGCACGAGACATATCTTGATAAGAAGAGTTGGTACAAGATCCAATCAATCCTGCACTGACGGTGGAAGGCCAGTTTTCCTTCTTTGCGGTATCGCCGAATTTAGAAATAGGCGTTGACAAGTCTGGAGTGAATGGTCCATTAACATGAGGTTCTAACTCAGATAAGTTGATTTCAACTACTTTGTCATATTCAGCGCCTTCGTCTGCCCTCAAAAAGTTGAATTCTTTATTTGCAGCATCAGCTGCCTTAGAAATTGGTTCTCTGTCTGTTTGAATTAAATAACGACGGTGGGCATCCTGATATGGGAAAGTCGAAGTAGTGGCACCAATTTCTGCACCCATATTACAAATAGTGGCCATACCTGTACACGACAAACTTTCTACACCATCTCCAAAGTATTCAACAATATACCCAGTACCACCACGAACAGTTAAAATACCTGCCAAGTGGGTGATCACATCCTTTGGTGAAGACCAGCCAGATAAGTGGCCAGTTAATTTAACACCTAATACCTTTGGAGCTTTCAATTCCCATGGAGTACCAGTCAATGCATCCACTGCATCTGCACCCCCGACACCAATTGCGATAGCACCTAAACCACCTGCATTTGGAGTATGTGAGTCAGTACCTAACATCATTAAACCTGGAACAGAAAAGTTTTCTAAAACGATTTGATGTATAATACCTGAACCTGGACCCCAAAATTGAATTCCATACTTTTCACCACAACTTTGTAAGAAATCAAAAACTTCCTTGTTCGTAGCGATGGATTTAGTCAAATCGTCTTCAGCACCATCTTTTCCAACAATTAAATGGTCACAATGAATAGATCCAGGGACAGCTGTCTTCGACATACCACATGTCATAAATTGTAATAACGCCATTTGGGCAGATGCATCTTGCATCGCAACTCTATCAGGATTCAATTTTAAGTATTCTTGACCTCTGATATTAGATAATTGTCCTTTGCATGATGCTAAACTCTCTTCTGGATCGACCAAATGAGAATATAAAATCTTTTCTGCTAATGTCAATGGCTTATTATCCACGATTTTCTTGACCACATTCAACTTTTCTATCAATTTAGCGTAAGGTGGAGTTCTTGACACATATTCTTGGGGAACGTCAAGAGATGAATATTTGGCTTGAGTAGCTAACCTTCTAATCCCATTAAGGGTACGGTGTGCTCCAATAGATTTTCTAGCACTTAACATGTTAACGTTTTGCTATAGTACAAGATTCTATATAGACAATGATTTACTCTAATTTGAAATTTTTCACTATTTTTGTGGACCAATTGTTTACTTCATAGATATTATGACTCAGAATAAATTTTTTGATATCGCGTATTTGTTCATAACCTAACTTGATTGCAAAAAAAGTAATTAGCGATATCGAGATTCTCAGAAAAATTTCCATTAAAATATAAGTCTATATTAAACTGTAACTAACTAACGTCTCTTGGTTGGATTAAGCAACTCAATTTCCAGGCCCTATCTTCTTCCTTTCTGTTAAGTTGACAAACCTTCCATAATTCTAATAAAATCAATTCTTGTAATGGTGGAGCAGGAATAATGTTATATTCATCCAGATCAGCAGTTTTGTTTGCACCAATACCAAGTAATAAACTACTTCTCCTACGTTCACGAGAAGTATTAGTATCAGCATCGATATATGAAGTTTGTAAACTTTCAATATCAGCAATAATTCTTGTAGTCTTCAAGTATTTATCAATATTAATAACTTTTTGGTTCAAAAACGAGTTTGCCTTTCTGTAATTAGGATTTCCGTCAGTAACAAACGTCAAATCTTGTAAAAACAACGAGAAATACGGAACAATTGGGATATTGTACTCGTTAGACACCAAAAAATTTCTAAGTTTTGTCCTGTACACATTGAAGTTTTTCTGGGGGTGGATGATTCCAGACAAATATTCGTATAATTCTTTATACTTATCAGATAAATCTACCCAAACCTTGGTCAATCTTGTGATCAAGTGGGATTGCAACGAGGTAATAATTGAAGCCAATGAGTTGAAATTTCTCAAATATAAGCATGATATGGCCACCTTCAACCATGTCTTAATAATGTTGACCCTCATCTTTTGGTTAATTTTAGGTTGTAAAATTGATTCTAAAACGTAACCAGACAAACAATTTGTGAATAATAAAGACTGTCTAATGTTAGGGGCTAATTTTAAGTGGGCCCGTTTGGCAGTAAAATTCTGGTTCAATAATTCATCAGGTTTAATTGAGCAGAAAATGTGCGACTCAATTAAGGTTAGCTGTTTGGCAAGTTCCAAACCGTTAAAGTCCAATAAGTTTGGTCTGTAGTTGGAAAGCACCCAACTTTGATCACAAACATTATACCATTTACTTAAGATACTAGCTAAGTTTAATGGTATGAATGTTTTGGTATTAATATATTTTGCTGGACACCAACTATCTCCCAAAATCGCTCTAAAAGTCAAATTCACTTTTTCTATGGTTATCAATTGATTCTTAGTTAATAATGAGTTTGAAGAAGACGTCTGGTTGCCTACCCCTAATGGTAAAGATAATGACATGGATTTCAAACTCGAAGTTGATGACTTTGTATTGATTCTAGATAACTCGTAACCATCCACCATTGAATATCTTGATGAAAGTGTGTTATCAGCAAAGCCACTCGACCGCTTTCTGTTAGACCTAGTTACAGTAATACTTCTATTAATCAACTGTTTCTCTGTTCTTGGTCTGCGGTTGCGCTTTTGATTTTCAGTTAAAGGTTTTGAGGATAATCTTGCTGCAATCTCTAATAGCTTTAAAGAATCTAAAGGTAAATAAACAGAAACTCCTTCATTAAAAAAATTAACTAGCGTCGTTAATAAAGAACTATCTGCTTCATGATTCCAGTAAGATTCTAGCCATAACTGGAACATCTTGATAATCAATTTCCTCCTATTCTTGAGTCTCATTTCTTCACCAATGTCTGACTTTTCATTATTCTTAAATGTATTATGATTCATTTCAAATCTTGTAATTAATTCTTCTATGAAATCAATTCCATTAGCAAAACTTCTGAAACAAATAAAGAACGTAGAAACAAAAAAGTATTCTGGCGGCGAGACCTCGTTTGTTAAGGTATAGACTAATCCCTTGAAAGATGCTCCTAGTAAGTTACCATTTTCATCCACCAACAATTCATCATTGATATTATGTCTTTCAGCACTCACTTCTTTGTTTTTAGTAGTAAACTTTTCGAATTCAGGATTAGAACTGAACGAGTCATCAGTCCCAAGTACATCATGTAGCATGTTTGCTCCGCTTGGAGTTATACTCAAGTCACCAGTTTTTCCAGATCTCATCATAGAGTATCTGTTAGAAGACTTCCCTTTAGGAGGTTGTAACGTATTTAAATTACGACCTTTAAGCATCTGAGTTTTGGCAATTCCGATAGAGCATTTCTTGATAAAATCCTCTGGCTCTACCTTCATTTTCGAGTAGTCAGGATAAGCTCTTTCTGAGTTCAATTTGAAATCTCCCGTAACTTCTAATAACCTTCTAATAGAAGATATTGTTTTACTGATAGATCTTATCATTCTGGCCGCGATTTGAATCAAATCACCACCTTCTTGGGTATAGTAGTAATCTTTCATTGGAGTACTCTGAACTCCCTTTTCGTTTATCAGATTTTTTTGATCTTCATCGGATTCATTCAATGTCTTCATAATTAAGCTCTTCACCCCTGATACTAAGTCACTTACCAAAGATAATAGCACATCTAATGAGCCATCTAAATCTGCAGGCTTTTCAGATGAGAAGTCTGAACCTGTTTTGGAAATAAACAACAACTCTCTCAACAATAATATGACTTGATGAGTTACTGTTTCTAAAATATCACATCCAACGGAATTATGCTCAATTAAATCAAGTCTTCCAATAATCAAACCTAAGTAAGAATACAATAAACCATTGATTTCGGTTATCCTTTGCTTTGCTTGCGGAGGAGATGGTAACAATGGATAATTATTCATATCATTTTGTAACTTCTTTTCATTTTCTCTTTTGATAATTTGTCTACTCTCAATTGACCATACCTGTAAGAAAGAAATCGCTTTCTTAGTAACTTGATAAACCATCAATGTCAATATCTCAATCTTGTTGAAATTTGATGTTCCCTTAAACTCATTTGCTTTTACCATTAAATTATACCAATCAGCTAATAGAGATTTACGGGTTTTTCTTACAATTTCTCTTTTAGTAACAATTTCATTTGTTCTTGATAGGCAATCAGTTTCTTGTAATAAGATTCTAACCCCATCCCTAATTGAATTCACTACTCTGGTAGAAAAGGTAAACCTGCCACGACGATTCTTATGTGATAGAGGGTTTATTAAGAATTTACCACACGAATGAAATAACGGTTTTAAGTAAGCGCTATTCGGTATTCTTCCAGTATCTTCTTCTAAGTCTTCTGTAGACTTCGTTTCATCTATATTATCATCATTAACTGCAATTGTGAAATAATTCATTGGAATCCAGCCCCGCTGTAATGAATCTACCATAGTTACTTCACCCCATCCTGAGTCGTCAATAGTGTGTACAAAAGCCAAATCATCTTTCTCAAATGACAAGCATATTGAAGCATCAGACTCAAGCTGTAACGATGAAGAATCAAATGGGTGCAAAGCCCTTATAAACAAGGAAGACAAATCTTCTTCATCCAACTGATTAGCCGATGATATTGATCCTGGTATGCTTTCGTTAACATTCTCCTCGGTTGTATCTATTTCAGCAGTTGTATCTGAATCTTCATATGATTTATTTCTTGGATCGAGTGAAGAATCGGCATACTTAATATTCAAACCACGGGCATGTTCCTCCTCGTCTGCATTCTTTCTATCCTCGAGACTCATTGAAGCAATAAACATGTCAACTTTTTCTTTCTCTGATACATTTTCTCCATCATCCCCTGGAATTTGCTCAATTTTTTGTAACAAATCCTTCCTTATTGGAACATCGTCGTTATCAGTAGTAGAAATGCTTGCTTTTTTTACAACCTTTAAAGGCGAGATTCTAGAACCTCGTATGTTAGTGTAAGAACTTTTACCACTTATACTTTTTGAAGAAATCAGACTACTATCCTCGTGAACATTGTTAAAATTGAAACTTGAAGAGTTGCTTAGCATTGGCTTGTCCAGATAAACACTATTTCTTACTGAATTATCAGCACTGTCAATTTCATTGCTGTATTCGTTATCAGATCCTAATATACTTGATCTATTACTTATTGTGCTCACTTCTGATTGTGGACCATTAATTACATGATCTTCCTCTACATCATCTTGAAGTATAGGCTCACTTATCTTTTGATAGTATGAACTTGTTCTATCATTGGAATTTCTATTATTAACACTTAATCTGTTAGCCTTCTCAATGTTTTGTTGGAAGGAGTTCATGAACTGAAACGAATCTCCTGAAGTAGCCATATTAGATTGCTGCAAAGTCATAGATAATCTCTGAAATTTTCTACTCAAATCCTGCTGAGGTAAGAGCGTGGTTTTTCCATGTGGATTCAACATGTTGTCAGACCCCAGTTTCATAAATCTCCCATCTGCACCCACTACTGGAGTCATATCATCGATAGGGTCATTAAATGACGATGTCATATTGACTAATGGAGTAGCATCTTCATCGAGACCCACATTTCCCGAAGATAGAGTTTCGTCATTGAGATCCAAACTATTCTGACTATTTCTGAGCAAAGAGTTGTTAATAGAGCTGAAGCTCATATCGCTCTCGTTGTTGGCTGTCATATAGCTCTGCAATGTCTGGTTGCTATCCCCTTGCATAATTGGCTGGAAATCGTCGTAAGACACGTATTGAGTACTCCCTGTCTCACAACTACCGTGAGATGACTGACGGCGGTCAAACTCATCCATAGATTCTTCTTCTCTCCCATCTTCTTTTATTTCTTCAGGTATATTATCACAACTATTTTTAAAGCCAAATTCTGATTCTAACGGAGAATAGACACTCGACGATGTACTAATGTGTCTATCATCTACTGATAAACGAGGTGCTTCATACATAATTAAAACCTACTTTTATCCATTAAATTAATTTAAGACAGACCTCCAATTATAGTTCTCTTCTATTATAGTTTAAGTACCTTGCGAATTTCACAGTTTCTGAACGTAAGTAAGTCAATAACCTTTCTAATTCAGTTGTTGATTAAAATCGCGTATGAGATTCAGATTAAAATTTCGTGTAAATTTTTTTAACGCGTGTGCCTTTAACGATTTTTGATGGTTTCACTAACAAAGAGCTTTTTATGAGCCACTGAAAGAAGGAGCATTGGTACGACATATATACCGGCCGTTTTGTTTATATGTAGGCAGAGGCCTATTTCACTTCCTATAACGTAAATTCTAGGCACCTAAGATCTATAATAAAACAGCAAGACCGTTTGAACATGCAATGAGTTTATCTCACAGTAGAATGTAGCAGACATTGTTGTATGGGTTACAAACTCCTTTAAAACAGTTGATGAATTCAGGGGTAAATTCAGCGTACGTCCGTGGGATTTTACCTGAGTTTGTCACTAGAGGAAGAATATAAACCTATCCTGTTTAAAACGGCACGACGAGATTCAATTATGAGAACGGACTCATGGTTCGAACACGGCCGTTTGAGGTTTCGTAGAGGAATCAAAGACCCAGATGGCCAATATTTTAGGCAAATTTGGTAGCAATTACAAATAGGACCATCAACAAGATGATGTTTCAAACGCGATGCAGGCAAGAAGAATATGTCGTTGCTTGTATATATATATCACGGACAAAGGTAGTTAATTACTCGAAGGAAAGATAACGAGTTGATTTTTGAATGGCTCACAATGCCTGAAAAAAGACCATCCTGATAGTGAGAAAGTATGCTGAAAAAAAATATTTGTAGAAAAAGTGTATACATTAAGAAGCCTTCGATTTAAGAGAATATTCAGACACTTTAAACGCAATGGTTCTGTTTACGTGTGCTACGTGTTCTACTTCCCAGGACGAAGTTGAGATGTCTAAACACTTGTCTTCCACAAGACATAAAAAAGTTACGTTTGATCCATTAAATGAAGTCATCGAATGTGAAGAATGTGAGGATTCAAATATCCATCAGTTGCTGCTTTTAAGATTTGGGTTGTCTGACATGGCTCTTTTGTGCCAGCTTTGTTTGTCTAAAGATGAAAAACCTTCCACGCAATATTCGCTCTCTAATGGATCTCTTTTGAAAAAGCTTGAACAATACTATAAATTCCGAGATATCGAGTGCCAATTATGTCTGTCAGATGATAAGTTATACGTGGGTAATAATAAATCCAATGGAGACCAGCTTATAGTATGTAAGAAATGCTTACCAGAAGTATCAAACAATCAGATTAACTTTGTTAGCGAAAGTGATGATAAGTTCCTTTACGAATTGCTTGGTATAAAAGAATTTGTTTCACCATCTAATGCAAAAAAAGGTAAAGGTCGTTCAAGAAAGATTGGTAGAAAAGGAGGCAAAAATTTTAAGGGTAAGACAGCTAGTAAGCTGAATGGAAAGCTGGTATCTAAAGATGCGGAAGAAAGAAAGGCTCATTTCTTTAATTCTAAGGCCAATTCTATGGCTATAAAATCTGGTAAGACTATTTTGGCTGTTGGATCTAATGATACAAGTCCATCTCCATCGAAATCAAATTCTAGAGTGTCCACTCCAAGACCAACGACACCGGTCCACTCAAGGCCAAAACAAAATACATCAAAGGATAAAAACATTAACAGAAAGATTCCTGTACCAAAGAATGCCAAAGTTACTGGTGACAAGCCTAAAGATAAACATTCCAGTAATAAAAAGACCCAGAATTCCTCACAAAATATCACAGCAGCTTCACGTAATAATACAAGGAAGAACAACGATAGTAATACACCAAGGTTAAACAATATTTCTAAGGAAATTGAAGGTACTAAACAAGTTAATAGTAAAAAAACTGAAAAAGATATAAATAGAAGGACTCCCGAAAGTAAGAATTCTGATAAAAAGGCTAAAGATAAGAAAAAAACAGAAACTTTTCTGTCTGAAGAAACCAATCCAGATCTGAGTTTGCTGAAAAAGCCAGTTAAAAAGACTCAAAAACTAAAGAATACTAGTAAAACTGATGATACTGGCGTATCCAAAGATAATAAAAGTAGTAAACAGAAGTCAAATGAAAAGGCTAATTTTCACAAATCAATTTCTAAGTCTGATAGCAAAAGCATTAAGCTAAATGAGAAAAAACCCGAGCCATCAAATAATAAGAAGAAATTAGATAAGAATAACAAACCCAAGGAAGAACTGCTAATTATTCCCTCCAATATCAAGAAATATGAGCCATCCATAGAGCCAAAGTTATCTTATGATTCTATGCTCTCCTATTTCCAAGAGATGTCATACAATTTGTTTTTAGAAGAAAAGATGAGTATGCACTCAAATAACAATTCATACCTAGAGTCAAATGAAATGACCATTGAATGGTATGCAGATCAAGATAAAAAGCACAAGCAATTTAAATTGAATATTCTATTAACTGATGAAATAATGAATAGATTTATCTCAAAGAAAATGCAGTCTCTCAAGAAATCACCATTTTCCTTAAATCAATCAGTGTTTTTAATATTGGGCGATGAAATTCCCTGGTATGGTCAAATTGTTACTTCAGATACCAAAAGCGCCACTAAGGGCCGCCGTGGTGGTCTTAAAGTTTTGGAAATAGTTATTGAATTATATAAATGGAACACTCAGCCTTTGCCACATGCTGTGAATGTCAAATGGTTAAAAATCTTACCTGTTTCAATTCCAGTTAGCAGAGTATTCATTGCTATGTCAAGAATTGAGAACCCAAAATTTATTAACATGATTCTCGGTAAGGAACCAATAAAGCAAATTGTATTCAAGAATTATCTAAAGTTTACCAAAGATACGTTTAATGAATCTCAAAAAGTCGCTATTCAGTCTGTATTGAATAATTCTATCACTGTGTTACAAGGGCCTCCAGGGAGTGGTAAAACTTCCACTATTTACGAAATTATATTGCAATTATTGGACAATTTGAATACGTATCCAATATTAGTTGTTGCAGCCTCTAATATTGCAATTGATAATATTGCAGAAAAATTGCTTGCAAAACATGGAAGATCTATTTTAAGGATTGTTTCAAATGAAAAAGAAAGAGAATATAACAGGGAACATCCTTTGGCCTCCATCTGTTTACATCACAAAGTTTACGATGCTCTTCCTTTGGCGATGAAACAGACTATTGATGACATGAGAAGATTCAATGGCCCTAAAGTCAGTCAAAACCAATATAAAAAACTATTGACTAAGCAAATTGAACTTAGTGATATTTTTATAGCACAAGCAAAGGTGATATTCACAACAACAGTTGTCGCAGGTGGGAATCAATTAAAATCGGTTAAAAAGTTACCTGTTGTTATTATGGATGAGGCTACTCAATCTTCGGAACCAACAACGTTAATCCCATTGTCTGTTCCTGGTGTTGACAAGTTTGTGTTTGTAGGTGACCAAAAGCAATTGAGTAGTTTCTCCCAAGTTCCAAATTTGTCTTTGTCTCTCTTCGAAAGAGTTCTTTTGAATGGCACTTATCGTACGCCTCATATGCTTGATACACAATATAGAATGCATCCAATGATCAGTGAGTTCCCAAGAAACAGGTTCTATGGAAGTCTATTGAAGGATGGTATAACTGCTGAGGATAGAATTTTGGAAGGAATTCCCTCCAACCCCGTCTACTTCTGGGACACTTGTGGAGCTGCACCGGAAGAAAGGGTTAAGATCAATTTCCGTGAAGACAGAGGCTATACATATTCCAACAAAAGTGAAATTTCGTACATCACAAAATCAGTACTAAAGTTAATCTATGATAAAGGTATACCCAAATCTGAAATAGGTATTATTACTCCTTATAGAGGTCAACGTGACTTGATTTCGTCAATTCTTGTTAAAAATGATTTAATTAATCCTGAAAAAGATGATATTCACGTTGAAGTCGATCGTGATGATATTTATAATGAATCAAAACCTGTTACAATTCATACCGTTTCTGATATAATGATTGCATCCATCGACGCATTCCAAGGACGTGAAAAAGATTTCCTTATTATGTCATGCGTAAGATCCAACAAAGAAAACAATATAGGATTCTTGGGAGATGAAAGGAGATTAAATGTTGCGTTGACTAGAGCAAAATACGGTTTGATAATCATAGGAGATGTGCACTGTTTACGTGAAAGTAACCCATTATGGAAGGAATATTTGGATCACTTACAGGTTCATGATTCAATACATAAGGATGATGAATTTTTGTACTAATTTGGTCCATCTTATTTATTAATTTATTTATTTATATCACTTGGAAAAAATAGTCATTGTTAGAACAGAAATCACATTTGATTTGATAATAATAACAACGAATGTACTAGAGAAATAAATTGTATAGCAATAATTTTAGACTTAATCTAAGTAGACTAAACGTTTTAGAAGTATATATAATATATCAGGTTGCATTCTTAATCTAGATGC